TTTCCCGACCAGATGCTGCCGCCTTCTTTTTGATTTATCTTTCAGCTTACCAATACCCGGAGGATTCTTATTATCCTTGGTAACCTCCGGCGCGCGACGATCCCATCCAATTTGGTATCGAACCAACATCACGTTGATTCTGGTGGGAGAGTAGTGTAGTGGCCTTGGACAATAGCCACACAATCCACAAAGCTGTGAACACAAGATCACTCAGAAAATAGATATTCAATATTTAACGCGGATAAATACCTAACAATGGAGAAGGCGTGAACAATGAATTGAATGGACTGGAGTTGGCCGGATGGCATGGCTCGGCCATGCAGGCGTGGTCCATCTGAATGTTACGTTATATCTTCTATTCATATTAAATATATTGTTCCTTCTCTAACCTAACCTTGTTCTACATCATGTATTGGTAATTGATACGATACAGTGAGTTGGTGTAGTCGATGGTGTGACTTCCACGTAAGATCTTATAGATTAGGCAGTTATATCATGACAAATCTACAAATTTAGGATTAGGTCTATTATTAGAGCAGTACTAATATCATAGTAGACCGTAATTCTACACAGTTGTCTCATGTTTCCTTCTCTCACGGCCTTTCCCGCCGTCATTGCCAAATCTTCCACATATCTACGTTTGTCAGTTCTGATGCTCCTCTTCACTTGCTTGTTTACTTCTGTGTATTCAGCTTGTGCCTTGACTTTTTCTGCTCTTGTTCGACTGGTATTGATTGCCGCTTTCTTGAATCTTATACAGTGTATCAACAGTGATCTATTCCTTGTGATGGTGCTTCTTGTGGCCCAGAACCTCATGATATGTTGAAGTGATTGCCTCTTTTATCCCTTTTCAATTGTTCTACATAGTAGTCTCCTCTCCATTTAGTAAATCATGAAAGGCCTGGAACTTATTGCTGAGGGCTATCTTGAATTCGTTAAGTTTGTCAGTATCCCGAAGAAAAGCCGTATTAAACGTTTGTGATATTGCCTGCCCCGTTGTCCAGTGCTTCTTGAGTTTCAATTTCGTCTTGGCGACCAGCAAGTGATGATCTGATGCTATATCAGCTCCTCTCTCCGTTCTCATATCCTCCATCGTCCTCCTGAACTTATTGTTGATGCAGATATGGTCGATTTAGTTTCGCGTTGTGTGGTCTGGTGAAGTCTATGTTGTTTTGTGAATGTATTTATGTGGGAATATAGTGCCGCCTATGACCAGTTTATTGAAGGCACATAGGTTTGCAAATCTCTCACCATTTTCGTTCCTTTCTCCAAGTCCATGTCATTCCATGATGTCTTCATATCCAGTGCTGTCCATTCCAACATTGAAATTCAAATCTCCCACCAGAATGGTCAGGTCTTTCGTTGGGCATTTTTCGACGATTGACTGCAGCCTATCGTAGAATTGATCTTTAGCGTCTTCATTGTAGTCGTTGGTAGGCGCATAGCATTGGATGATGTTCATTGAAATGTCCTCTTTCTTTGTTTTGAAGGAGGCTTTGATGATCCTTGGTCCATGAGATTCCCATCCTATAAGTGCATTTTGTGTCCGTTTGGACAGCATCAATGCAACTCCTTGTGTATGTGTGGCATTTTCTTCATCATGGTCGGAGTATAGCAGAAGCCCTACTGAATTTATTCGTTGTTGTCCAACTTTCGTCCAATATGTTTCACTGTTCTCAAGCACCTCTAGGTTGTATCTGCTCATTTCTGCAGCAGTTTGGAAGACTCTCACGGTCTCCTACATTGTACAAGTATTCCATGTACCTAAATAAATGGTTGCTCTGGTTGTCAGAAGGAGCATCGGCCTTGTGACTTCCGAGGGAACTAGGCTTTCATCATGAGGCGTCATAGTTCTTTTAATGAAGACCTTCTGACTCCCAGGGCAGAATTTAAAAGGTTTGAATAATTTTTTTCTCTTCCTGTGATTAGCGGCCTTGGGCCACAACAACTATATCGTAAGTCAAGTTGAACGAAAACATCAGTTGGTTGCAATCGAGGAGAAACAGGTCTAACTGAACGCATTGCCTTTGTAAGCCTGCTTGTGTAGGCTGTTAGATCCATGTTCATGGAAGAAGATGAAGGATCCACGAAGTCTCCTGGAAGTCGAAGTGTCGTTCCATAAATGAGCTGAGCTTCAGTGTATCCAATGTCAGTTTTCACTACATTGTGAATACCAAGTAAGATATAAGAGTATCCATTTGAATCTTGTAAATCCAGCTTACACAGGAACGTGCCCACTCCCTCACGTCGTTATTCATTTCAGGCCAGCAAAACCGTTCTGCTATGAGCTTGATGGTTGCACGAACAACTGTATAGAAAGTTTATGCAACGCACTGAAGACGCTGTGTCGATAATGTTTCGACACAATTGAACGATGCCTTCCCGTAGATGTGTCGCACAACAAGGTTTCCTCACCTGTCTTCATCTGTTTGATACGCCATTTTGGGGTTGTTGGAGATAACTTATGTTGAAGATCAGTGTCTTATTTTTTAAGCTTGGCGGGTTGTAGAAAATCGATTGCTTAGGAACTGTTCAAGGAAGTTATACGAGACAATGAGTCTGCACCCACATTGTTTGTTCCAGAAATGTGTTGTATGACTGAAGTAGACTGGGAAATTCAGTCCAATTGTCGAAACTCTCGAGGTGAGCGCTTGTCTGAAGATGAGGTTAAAGAGAAGGCAAGAGATTTATGATCAGTGAAAAGAGTGAATTCTCGGCTTACAATAAAGTGTTGAAAGTGCCGTACAACACGACATATGGCCAGAAGTTCCCTACCGAAAGTGCCATACCTCGGTTAAGTGTCTAGCAGCCGTCTCGAGAAAAAGCAAAAAAGAATGTCAAATGTGGTTAATCTATTGTTGCACGACCCCTCCGATTGCTGAGTCGGGTGCGTCTACTGTGATACTTATGGGTGCTTGTGTGTCCCGGTGTCTACTCATGGCTGGTTTTGAGATAAGTTCCTTAATTGCAGAGAGTGCTTTTCTAGTGGTATCGTCCAAATTGATAGGTTTCGCATTTCCACGAAGTTGGTCAGTTAGAGGTTTCATAAGGGACACTCATTTTGGTATGAACCATCCATAGAAGTTTACTAGTTAGTTAATTGTGTGTGATTGCTTGATTATGGTCGGTTCTAGGTAGTTTAGGATGGCCGCCACTTTGCTTCTTAGAGGTCGGATGCCTCGATCATCAATAGTATGTACGGGGAGATCTAGGGAGTTAGTTCCGATTCGGTATTTCCGAATGTTTACAGTAATGCCGTGCTTTTGCAGTCGTTCGAAGACAGGATCTAGATGCTTCTTAGTCCGGACGTGCAAACAAGCAGTCATCAGCGTACGAATGTACGAAATTGAGACCTCGAAAAACATCATCCATGAACATTTGGAAGGTTTGGGCATCATATCATAAACCGAAAGGCATGCGTGAAAACTCGTAGACGCCGAAAGGTGTGATGATAGCGGTTTTAGAAATGTCGTCAGTGGCCATACAAATTTGGTTATAGGCTTTAACCAGGTCGATTTTCAAATAGACAGCTGTACCTTTCAAGGTTTCTGTCAAATTGTGAATGTGGGGCAACGGGTAACGATCAGGAATGGTTTTCGCATTCAATCGCCGACAGCAGCCAGTTGGATGCCAATCGTTGCTGCTATTTTTAGGGATCATATGTAAAGGCGATGCTCGTGGGCATTTTGACGGCTGAATGATTCTTAAATCTATCATTTGGTCAAATTCGTTTTTAGCCAACCTCAGCTTTTCAGGAGCCAGTCGACGCGCTTTCGAGAATACAGGTGGTCCCGTAGTCGTGGTGTACTGTGTAACATTGCTGGATACACACGGTAATTTCGGTTGCCTACGGTATATCTCGACTTACTTACCGAGTATTTGTTGGTATTATGGGCCGATTGTGCGTCTTACTATGACTGGAGATAATCTACGGCCCGAAAAATAAGTCACATCAACAGACAAATCAGTGTTTCCGTCTACTAACCGGTTCGTGAAGTCGGTCGTTAAAATCTGTTGGAAGAAAACTAACTTCTGCACTAGTGTTGACGAGGTAGCGAACTTTTGTTATCACATCAGTGACACATAACAGACAGCTGTGTTCTCCGGCTACGGTTGCCGTGGGAAGTTTCCCGAAAAACAACTCTAGCAAGAATGGCGACGAAGACAGCTGTACTGATTAAAAGACTCAATTTCCGATGAATAATTGTTCTGCCAGACTGAAATACAACTATTAAGTAACTTTGAGTTTTCAATATCCATTATTATGAGGAAGGCGTTGCAACGTGGTGAGTAACATCAGTGGTGATGAATCAAATCTCTTACGTCCTAATCTTGTACGAGTAGGCAAGAGAGTTATTCGCCTTTCCAACTTAGTGGTTTTCACAGTACATGCAGTTAATTTCAAAGACGACGTCAAACCAGCTAAAACAAAATCAGAACAATCCTGCCAAGCTACAAATATCCATCGTTCCAACCTAAACGTCTCTTCTCGGGAAATGGAAAGTATATAATGGGGGAAAGATGAAGTTCATTATTTAGTGCTTTTCACTGTATGCATAAATGTCATACATTCCGTAATAAAATACCTCAAAATAACTCAAATTCTGGGTGGAGAAGTCTGGATTTTTGAGTTTCCGATTTGAAGTAAAATGTTAGAGTCTCATAAAGCATATGAAATAGATCCATCTTTCCTAATGAAGCCAATTTGCACTAGGTCTTCGTAATGACATTGGACACCTTATGAAGAACAGTTAACCATATACAGGAGTGAACTAAAGATTATTTGGATAGCATAATCAGTAAAAATAAGAGTCATTTTTTAATGTTCTGCAGTCAAGGGGAAACAAACAGGATTCATACCGGACTGACCAATGGGTGCACTGTTGTTGTAACACCTGTCGGCGCCATCTTCAAATATCCATTTTCGGGTTTTGGTGTTGGTACGTATCACTTTACTTCGTGTCTCACTAACATTTATTCAGTCAGTATATTTGACCAAAATGAATATCTTGCATACTATAGTATGTGATATTGCTCCAGATATGCTCCGTTCTGTGCCGATTCCAAAGTCTTTTAGAGACATTTTCCGTCTATCATGTAACTTATTAAAATACATTAATCACGTTTGTAGTAAAGGATGTGCTAGCCCTCACTGTTTTCGGCTCATTTAGTGGAGCCATCGGCTATGCTGTATACACTACTGTAATGCTTCATCTTGGAAAACGGAGGATCCTTATCAATAATGATATTCGGAAACATATTACGAAATGTGTTGACGTTGTAGATATTGAGTCCATAACAGATAAAAAGGTGTACTGCCGATGCTGGAAATCATCTAAAGTATGACATTCGATGACGTTTAACTTTCTTACAGTTTCCTTATTGTGACGGTGCACATAACAAACATAACGAGGAAACTGGAGACAACGTTGGCCCGCTCATAATTGAGACCAAAAAGTCATCGTAGTGAGTCCGGACACAAATTAACAATAATTTCCTGATTGCTCCGTAATTGTAGCCGCAATTTCGTAATTACCTCAACTGTGTTTTATTTCCAGTTTTAAGTTGTTTTATTAAACGTAACAGCATTGTGACATAATACCCAGTGAAATACATTGTTAGTCAATGAACTGCTCCTGCTCTTTTTACTAACTGAAGTTAGGTCTTATTGTGAAATCCAATTAAGAAAATTTAAACTATAAATTATCTGGCCGTAACTTCATTAGGATAGAATATCTTTATAATTACCACATCACGTTGAGCAAGTGAATTAAAGGTAGTTGAATGGCGAAAAAAGCCTACGTAGCTCTCGGTTTTCGTCCCTGACCGTTCGATTTCGTGTGGGATGGGATTGGTAATCCCATACCCAACTTTCCTTTATCCGGACTAGAAACTGGCATTAACATGTACCACCATCATTTCTGTATTGCTATGTAGGATCTCCCTAGTATCTACATAACATCTATTTGTAACTTATTGTTACCCGATGCTTCCACCTTAACGTTCATTAAATAATGGAGGTCTAAGTTGCCGTTAAAGATGCACATAAGTCTGTATTTGTAATGTCTATCCGTTTAGTTGATTATATGCAGCTGACAACGTGGTAAGGAAATATGTATTGGTTCAATTTTCTCAGCAAGATAATTTATTCCAGGAAGTTTTCCACTAAGTAGCTCTCATGACTTAAATAGTTGGACTAGCTTAATAACTTGTGTATTCAACTTGTGGGTTGGTTTCTCATGCTTCGTGTCGTTTTATTGATGAACATCATTATGATCTATACGTTTTCAATAATGTACCATTTCTTGTACTAACTACATGACTATTCGAATAGTAAAATGATAGCACCATGTTTTTCATCAATAAAAAAGATATCTTTAGATGTAGAAATGAGTCATAGTATTTAAAAAACTTATGAGCTAGTACATCGTGGCACTAATATGAAAAAAAGGCCGAACAAGTTTCTCATAACTGAATGACCTCTTGTCGTGTTAACTATGGTCTGCAGGTTAACCGTTACTTTGGCGACTCAATAGGTTTAAGGTTACAGACAAATATTATTAGGATGTTCATTTATATTGGTACAAAATATTTCACACCTATACTTTTATTTCATGCCATTAATGTTGATTAGTCTATCAATCAACTACCATAGAACTGAGGTTTTTCGGTTTAAATAACCAACTTTCAGTCTGTAGATAGTATGTTTTAACCTTGCTCTACTGACTGACGTTTAGTCAACCAGTTAGTATCATTAACCTTTAAATGATGAATATAAAAGCACAGTTGAATATGCAAACATGAAAATATTTGCTAAATCTCGACACGTGTATTAGTACTTATCAATTCAAATGATGTTATAGTTGGGAAACACGTTATTTCTAACCGAATAACAGTAGAATATGAAGGGGGAAGATCGATTATTCTGAATGATTTATTGACATGTTACAAATATCTATAGTTTAATGGGGATTTAGCATGCTTCTGTTGATTTTTGTTTCTCCAGAGTAAGTGGCATCCATTTGTTTACTAAATTTCAACAAAATCATTGGACTAGTTTATTATACTTGAATCTAAATCTTCTTAGCATGTCATTTTTCGAACTGCTATTTCCAGGTAGTTGACGATTGTCACTTGGCCAGCTTACAAGATACTCAGGTTATCACATCTGAACGTACAAACTCCCATTGATACTTTTTCTTTACTACCGTCTGGGCCAAAATGAATAGGTCACTCATATACTGCTGGATATTTGTGGCAGCTAGACAGTCCAAAAGTCCCATATGTACACGATTTGAACAAATACAGGTAGTCGTTCATATGGGCTGACATCTTTCAAATAATCTTAAATAGTACCAATGCCAGACAATCCTCCACGTGTTCTCAAAGCGATAGGCTAGTTGTAAATAACGCTGTAATTGACAATTTTTCACCTGTCCAAGTCGTCACATCGTCAAAGTAGGTTATAAATTTGTAAAGGGAGAAATACCAACTTCAGCAGAGAACTAGATAGTAAATGAAATTAAGCAGCGGAGGATAAGTAGATCCGGATCTCCTGCTGAAAATGTAGAATAATAATTGGTCTGACCTTGAAGAGAGGTCCTAATGCAAGTTAGTTTGCACAGGCTACCTTTTTAGGTTAAATAAGGTCTCAATGACTACCTGAACGCCACAAGTAAATTATGATAGTGTCCGAAGTCTGCTGCGTTAGATCCAGATTTTACAGTTTACCAACAAATTCCTGCTTTGTGACTCATTGATAGCTGATGCTGAATGCATTTCCACCTCACTTCTGATGACTAGATTTGTTGCACAATTGACCGTTAGACTCTCCGTAAACATAACTTCTCAATAACTCTCACCCAACAACCACAGTTCCTAATTATCGGTCAATCTTAGTATTTTCCCAAGTCTTGACTCGATTTAACATGTTTTATTACCAAACTGCTATGCATAATTTATGATGTAAATTTGTCCGTCAGTCAAGAGGGATCAGTAAATTACTTATTGTCATATTCCCATCAATGTTAGATCACGCAATTTGAAACCGGAAACATTTCACCAAAAGATTATTAAGAGTTTTATTTAAACACAAATATTGATACAAGGGGCATCAAATATATATGCGCCACACAAATCATTCAATTTGTGTGAGGCTGGGATACTGCTTGGGCGTCCAAAGTAGGTCGTTTTCTTACGGAACCGCTTCATGAACCTTTGACCTAGAGGTCTGATCCACAAGGCAGTGGAGCAACGTTAGGAGGTGAAGTTCTATGGTCACAGTAATCGGTCTACGATAACTTACCCATGTTGTGTTATTTGATCGCTGGTACTAACCAAAGTTTGTTAATAATTCTAACGAAGTAAGCGCTAAAATAGTTCACTACAGTTATATACACTTCGAAGAAAATTAACACCTATGTCGTGAATGATGAGTGCCAGTAAACAGGAGACCTGAAACTACGCAATATGTATGTCGAGATTAAATGTTTGACTTGGCTACCTAATTTATCTTTCGTTGTTATGGTCATCGTTATGAAGCGATAAGTGTAAGAGTTGTGATGAAACCCTCAACCAGTGGTCTTAGAGTATGCAAAATCGATGGTCAAGATTTATCATTATAAACACTTTAGTAAGATAAAGTATCCGAATCGTTCGATGCGTGTCGGTTATTTAGCGTATGTAGTTACTTACTAATTAGTAGTTTTAACTAGTCAACTGACCGGACTTGGGTATTAACGTGAGCTCACTTTGCCATATAAAGTTTTATAAACTCGCTAATACGTGATTTGATAGGGCATAATCGATAATAAAACAATTAGTTACTCTCATACAAAATTTACATCGCGAAAAATATATCACTAAGTGTTGAACAGGAAAAGTGGTTTATGACTAGTCAATGAAGCTGGTTTCCATATACTATAACTTGTGCCCTATTAATATACAACGTATTGATACCGCCAATTAGAGAACAGTGACTAATCAACCGAACCAACGACGCAAAAACCCGTACGAGCAGTCTAGAGACCTTATCGGTCCTTCTTCCTGCTTAGCCCTGCTTGTTGAGTCCAGAACACCATTCTCAGCCTCTGCGATATGAATCATGTATCTCAAACATATTGGGTTTATATTCCAACCAAACAGAAAACAACATTTGTAAAAGATCTAACGAAAAGTGACTGTGAATGTGGGACATAATTGATAGACTTGGCATAACTCAAGAACGGTAAATCGTATAATAATAGTCTATGGATCAAAATAAAGCTTATGATAAGAGGAACAGTAATATTTATAATTTAGTTAATTAACAATTATACAATAAAAATATATGTATCGTATTCGTTCATAAATAGTTCTTAAAATTTATCATTCATAATTCGCGTCGTGATATAACACCAAATATCAGAGTAGGTTAAAACTTTTTCTTTGAAATACAGCTCAGTGAGAGATTAGTAGGTAATAAATTCTTTTGTTTAAATGGCACCCATCAGTTGTTTATACTGCACAAATAAAATGAGACAAGTGTTTTTCATTTTTAAGCTACAAATACGAATAATCAAACCTGGTTCAAGTCAATTGAAATTTTGCTGAACTAGTTTGTAAGCAAATTATCCATGCAGAAAACTGTGAATACAAATGAACAGTTATTGAGTGTCGTGTTTCTAACGAACAAACCGAGAAATACTCAAAATGCAACCACAAGATAAATATAAGCAGAGACGTTGGTGGCTAGCAGTGGAATCCAGGACGCGCATGTTGTTATATTTGGGACTCGTTAACTGGGTATGCCCGCATCCTCAAGTTGATATTCACTCCGAGACTCGAACAATATATACGATTCATACAGCGGAGGCTGATATTTTTGTTCTGGACTGAACGGGCTGTGATACGCGAGAAGCTAACATACAAAGGATCAATAAGGACTGAAAGTTGACTCTAGGCTGCTCGTGCTAGTTAACGCAATACTGATTTAGCATATAAGTCGGCTTTCTGATTGGCGATTTGTCACGTGATATTTTGATAGACCATAGGACACAACATACATGTTAGTCCGATCAATTTCATGATGCTCAAACGTCTTTACATTGTGGATCCACCTTGCCTTACACTATGGTAGTGATTATTGTAACGACGTAGTTGATATCTCAATAACTTAGTTGCATTTATTGGTCATATGTTTTTGATCTCATAAAATCGTAAAGTGTGTTTGTTTATACGTTATCTCATCGATCACTAAATGTTTCTTTTTAAATTCTCAGTTCATTTTATTTCCATTTGACTAATGATTAGTAAAAGCAAAATACATAAAACTCCGTGTATTTATTTATAGTTTTCCAAGCTATTGAGTCATTTGAATGATCGTCCATTTGTTTCACAGATAATAAATATCGAAATAAAAACTAAACAATTAATTGTACAGAATATAAACAAGTAAACATTTTCCAAGATCATTGTGAAAATAGTTAA